TCTATTATTTCTAAATTAAGATAAGGTCAATTTTAGATGATACTGAACAGAAATTATAATCTAGATATACAGTCCCAGGGAAAAATGAAAAAAAAACGCTTTTTCATTTTTTTGTGCAGAAGTTAAATCAGGCGCCACAGTGTGCCATTTCCAAGAAATGCAGTATGACCTCTCAATTATGTTTGTCATACTTTGTCATATACAAGTTGCTTGTATGGTGAAATAGTGTTCATGTAAATAAGTGGAGCGACAACAATTGCATCTCCTCTCTTAAGGTTATTCTGTCATCACAAATGCAAGTCCATTTACAATTTGCCACTCCACTCGTTGCCACTCTAGCTTTTTCTACTTGTGTCTCTCCACTTTCTCTCCTCTCACAGTAAGAGAAAACCCATTTCCAGTTTGGTTGGATGGGTTGAAACAGATTGATTTTTTTTCAAATCAACATAATGTTAACATAGTGTGCAACAATGTGGTGAATGCTACCCTAAAGTTGTATTATGGCTGTCAGCATAATGTAATGTTTGAGGGCTGGAGCCGTGAGTGCACTGCTCACATACCCTGCAATGCCCTTTTGGCCTCGCTAATGCCTCGATGACCGCCCACATTATGACAACATATTTCCAAGAGCAGTTATAACAATACAATGTAATTTGGTCCACTCAACTTTGAAATATACATGTTCTTTTTAGCATTCAAGAATGCTACTTAACGTTTGTAGCAAATTTTCTAATGATTGCTATGTCAGTGAGTCATTGTGTTCCTCAAAAGTGTTTTAAAGCAGTTTTGCATACTAGCAAAGCGGTGTATGTGCCGCCATTAGCATGTCATGACAGTTACTGTTAGGGACTTAAAGCGTTCGTGTTCAAACACTTCTGAGAAAAGGCAGAATAAGATGAAGAAAAACTAAGATAAGTCACCTCAAAGTCTCCTGGAGCGCCCATAGCACAGCCACCGGCCTCAGTGCAGCTATGTTGAGCTCTGTGTAATTACGTAGAAAGTGAAACTGGATTTAGGAGGTTCAGGTTGGCATTTTGAATTAATTATCTTTTTACAGGGTGTTTTAATTTATGTCTTGAGACAATGGCGATAACACTTTAATGCACACGTGGTGTTGTTGGTCAGGCTAGCTGCAGGATAGCTGCAATCTATAAATCTTTCTAGTTGATCAAATGTTACGGCCATGTCAAGTTCAAAGTGTCAGACTCGGCTCTCGACTGGACTCGATTGTATCTGTGCAAGCTCTACTTTGTGGGGTTTTACTCCTCATCCATAACAGCGGCTTCACAATGGACGCTGGAGCACCGTGCCAAGTCAATTGTCGCACAAGCAGGAGCCCGGCTGTTCACACCAGAAGCGCATTTCTCCACACCAGTCAACAAGCGTTTCTGCTCCTCTGTTATTTTCTATAGAGCGAATCTCTCACTCACTCACTCTGTCACTCTGTCTGTCTGCTTGTACGCGTATGTGTGCCTACTCATGCCGCTCGCTCTCTGGTTTGACACAACTGACAAGTATGTGAAATGTATATGTCAGTTAAAAACCACAATCACAAACCGCAGTTTCACTGGCTATTTTCTGATAAATATAGTAGTTTATCAGTGCTTTCTTCCCAGATTAGCTCGAGGAACGCATAGAAATTAGACCAGATGCCGAAACTATTTCTACATTCAGTGTGAACCCGGCGTGAGACTCAGCTGCACTTCAGATTCTATACTGTGCACAGTTCACACTTCACACAACATATATGTCTGAAGCACAACGTTAACTCGAACTGGCTTACCTACAGCTAAAGCTGCCAGACTAAAGTTAAAACTGATAAAGTACAACTGAAACTGACAACGTACAGCAGCCTGACGCAACGCAGCTTGTTGAGCTAAACTTAGCAAAGTCAGCCTTCAGACTGTTGCAAACAGACAAAAGTGAATGTCAAGCTAATCCTGAGATGTCCCAAAATGGTCACAGTAGTGGTGCTGTCTTAATGGTACTATGCACAATTGAAGACATGGGAAACGGATGCCGGTAATTTGTGAACTAGTCTCCTATCTTTTTCTGGAATACCCTGGAGGTTAGGGAGCAGAGAGCAGTGAGGCCCTGTACATGGGAAGCTACTAGATGGGAGGTTTTGTTGTCCTGCAAACGTTTATTCTATATTCTTGTTAGTTATGGCTCCAGGTGCTGCAGACAAACCAGGGGAATGCTGATGGTATTTTAAAGTGTATCATATTGTAAGTTTATTCATCGCTCCCATATATTGGCACATTCCAACAAAATGTGCTTTTTCTCCAAAGGCTGCTGCGCTATCAGCAAATTGGCCATCATCGATTTTGGCTGCACACTCGTTGGTCTTCATTTTATAAGCATTCGATCAGTTTGCTATGATAATGTTTCCAGTTAAATGTGTTTAATACACATTAAGTCTGTTCATTTGGCCATATAGTGTTGTTATTATGGTAATTGGCAGCAGTCTATTCAGGCAGACACATTCATTGATACCTATTTAATGGAATTTGCATCAAGAATTAACGCAAAGTTTAAGGTCAAATGTGATTATAAGCACTTTTCGTGAAATTAGGCCATTTCCTGTCCTCCCTAATGCTCCCTAATGGTTTTCCACTCACATCTCCCCCTCATACCTAACATCTAAATGAAAATCATCAACATCCATAAACATGTCTTCTCATGGAATGGGAAACGGGGGGGGGGGGGGGGGGTGGGCGAGGGTGGGGGGGGGGGGGGGGGGGGGGGGGACTGATATAAGTATGGAGAGGACAGGGAATGGAATGGTTGTTCTATACCTCATTTACCAGCAAACCGCTTAGCGAGGCCATTGGCATTTCCGGGGTCAAGAGGGCAAAATGAATGTTCTTCACATCCTATGGTGACTTGTAAAAAACGAGACCAGTGTCGCATGCGTGTACGCACACTCACGCACACAGCCTTACGCAGTCAGTGTGATTTATACCAAGACTGCTTGGGCGACAGTCATGGGCCGTTGACCCTGTCACAGCAGAACAAGAGTGAAATAACTTTATGGATGCAGATATTGAGCAACAGATATTAGCACAGAGGGCCAGAATAACAGGAAATCAGCCTTGACCTCTAGGGTGAGGGGGGGGGGGAGAGATGGCAAGGGATCATGGATGGCTCTCCCTCTTGATTAGCTAAAAAAGCTGCAGTCCAAAGCTGAGCGGACTAAGAAACAGTGAAGAAGTTGTTCCAGGAGTGATGCAGCCCCCCTAAATCCCTGAATAGTGCCAAATGTGTACTTGATTTGACCCTAAAATAAAGAACAGTGGTAGGATGTATTACTCCCCCAGGAAATAGGACAAAAATAAGATTTTCATGGGACACAAACAAAAGGTGTATCATTTCCAAAATGTTCAACAATAAGAAGCCTCTCAGTTCAGCTATTTCTAACAATGACATCTCATCAGCGGCTCTTTTCCCATCAGTGGTATTATGGGTCAGAGATGTTATGAACAAATTAATGGATTGAACAAATGACTAAGAGTCTATAATACCAACCTAATTTCAATGTGGGTGAAACAAAAAAACAGGAGAAAGAGCTGAATATGTTCCATGTTCTAGCTCCCTTTGTTCTTGCTGTTTTTCATTGCATTTATCACTTTTATTCTATATTTCTATTTCCGTCCGTTCCCCTCCACCGCGGGGGATGACATTGCCTCAACCAGGGTCTTTGATTAGCGCTGCTTCTAAATACGACACATCCTGTTGACCTTCCGAACGTTGCAATTTTCTTTTCACCCTTTTCCCCTCGATTCCCTTTTCTTTCTCGTCTCACTTGCTTTACTCCTCGTCTCCTCTCTGAGGGATTGAGGCTTGCTGGGTTAACAGACCAAATACATCATAAAAGTCAGTGGAGCGCTATGTCATGCAGCATTTGCTTACTAAATTAGTTGTATCTGTTATGATATATATATATATCAGTCTTGCTCGCTTTTATGCTTCAGCGGCAACTGTTTTGGGGGTGATTGAGGCTTGCAGAGTCGATGCTCAGACATATATTGCTTGTATTCATCTTACTGAAGATGTGCTTATCTAATGCTTAGGCGCAGGACAGAGTAGTGCTGACTGATCCACTCCATCGGGAAGTTGGGTGGCTTTAAGGCCTTATCCTGACGAGTAAATCCAAATTGGAGACTGTGTCAGCCATTGTGGTCGCCACAAAGACTACAATGGCACAGGACTCCCATAATGGCCCAACCAGACCATTCTATCTCTAATCAGCTAAAGGAGGGAGATGGGCCAGTAAAAAGACGAGTTGGAACAGACATCTGACCCCCTACACTCTGTTCTCCACCGTTCTTCTTGAAGAAAGACGAAGTTTGCTGGAGTATATTTTGTACCTGCCTGATTGGGACAAGTTAGAGTGAGCGTGTGCACATGCATACTCACCTTACACACACAATAGAACACACACACACACACGTAGCACAGGTCAAACACCAGGCATTTATACCCACCCTCATCCATGACCGCACAGCCTCGGCTTGATTAATTCGGCCTCCAGAGACACGGATGCCCAGGTTAAACAGCAGGCTCGTAGCGGAGAGCAGAGTGAGCAGGCTTGATGAATGACTGCAGACCGGTATCCTGACATGCCTGATAAACGTGAACCGGCAGATTCGTTCTTAAACAATGTAGTCCTACCCACACATTTAACATCCATACTCTGAGATCAGGGAAAAGCTTTCAGAATGACAAATAACAAATTTAGCCTCTTTCCGACAAGGAATCTGTTACATTGCTTCGTTCATCTATCTTTTAAATAGTGGTCTTGATTCATGTGCTGTTCATGTCCAAATATGACAGGATTGTGCTGCGGATAGAGCCATAATCTCGGAACTTGGCATTTGACACACAGGACTGGATAATGTAGGAATTTGCGTATTAATGTTGGAGGCAAGAGATTATTTGGTGGAACCTGATTGAATGCTGCTGACACTGCTTAACCATTTGTATTTGATTTCTTTCAGCCTCAAGTCAGAGGTGTGATCCAATGGAGGTTAATGACAACCCATGGGTCTACGTGAGTGAGATTCTAATTGGCTGTTGGACCAGCTTCATCAGAGAGGACAAGGCAGAGGTCCACATCCTTAACCTGAACTTTACCACCACGGTAAGCATGTCAAGGTTATACAAATGAGGTGCTGAGTGCTAATTACATAAATGTAAAAAGGGGGAAAATCTGCTTGGCAGTGAGTGAATTGTTAGAGGCTATGCTAGTAAAATAGCAATATTATAATGGGAAAAAGATACTCTAATTTACCTAATTTGTATACTAGACCAGATGACAATTGAAAAGCTCCCCTGCAAGAGGACGTCAAAATTTCAAAGGCTACACAAATCAACACCATAGCTATCCGTCAAGCTGACAACACAGCTGCCTTGTCATTGAAGTCCAATACCGTGGCCCGTCCTGGGTATGTTATCATCCACTAAATAATCATCCTTTAGTGTGGACAGTCCAATTTGTCAAGTCCAGTCACACCTACAGTAAAAGGAAGAAGCATTGTGCCGGTCCAAGCATTGCACACGACCGTCATTGTTACAAACGCAAGTAATCAGTTAGAATCCACAGTGATAAAAGTATAGGTTTAAAGAGAAAAAATAATGGCTGAATTCCATTTTGCCTCTTTGGTCTCAGGATGATGGCATTGTGCATGCTTGTTCACTGTAACGCTGTCATGGCTAATGTTATTGTTGTACATTTAATGTTGTTGTTGCACGAACTCTAATCCTTGGGATAAATAAGCCTCAAAATGTTCTTCCCACACTATAAGATGTAAACACACACACTTCCATGTCCAAATTTTATCAGCCAAATAACTAACTAACCCTTAACGGATGCCAGACATGTCGGACAGATAGGGTTTCCCAACATGCTGCATTTTTTTTTTTTAACACTAAACAGACTTCAATAACAACCCAGCTCTGCATGTTTGACTGTGTGTTCAGTGAATTTTCTTTTTCAGTTAAACGATCATACACCATGATTTCAGATGGTGTATTATGTCATTTTCCTTTACTTTTAGCTTTAGGAAATGACACCAGAAAGAAACTCGTGCAAACTTTTAATCTATATGTTGTTATTGCTGTGCCAGACTCCATTTTTCACTGTCCAACATTGTCGGTCAGCTCACATTAGTCATTTCTTTATCAGTGTGCTCTGTTTATTTGCTTCTTCTCTTGGTTCTCAGAGTTCTTTATGTTGTACTTTCACATAGCTTGTGTTAAGCAACTGCAGTTTATTTATTGTCTGTTTTTTATTTTACACTCTGCTGGCCATGCTTTCTCATTTGGTGGCGAGTATGAGAAGGGAAGCAGATGTGCTACAGTATGTGCAGGCAATACAATGCAGGCCTGAATCAATCACCTCTATAAAAATTAATAAAAGCACTCAAGGTCCTTTCCGTCAGTTGCTTTTAGGAAAGCTGTAGAGAATCCTGTCATAATTCTTCTCTTAAGGGACACCTTCACCAGTAAGATAAGCTGATTTATTCAGTATAAGTGCAGATTTTTTTTTTTCTGGATTTTTCGACCCATTTATATTAGTATCTTATCAATGTAGCTAGTTAGCCTCACAGATGCCTGTAACAGATATGTTTCCCTGCTTAGTGTTGTTTTGTAGGTGTGCTAACATTGTGCAAGAAGAAAACAGTCTTTGCCTCAGTGACAGGGTTATTGGCATAAATGTTGCTGAACTATTTTGACAAGTATTTAGTCCCATTTAATGGACTGCAGTGTTGCAGCATATTCAACGTACTGGAAATCAGAACAAAAAGCTGTTTGATGACAAAACAGATTTAAAGCATAATAGGAGGGAAATAATTCCCCATCTCCTCAATAGGCCTGAAGAGTAAAACCAGACAAATCATGTTGTGTGGGTAAGAAAAGTCAAATTTCATTGCAAAAAGTAGTTTGTACAAATAATGGTGCAATTTGTCTTAAAATAGTATGAATTCATGTGGCGTTTGTGGGAGGTCACAAAAGGAATTTGGCTCGGGATCTGTGTGAGGCAATGGACGTTTCCCAGAATTTGCATATCTCTTGTGGGACTATGAGTTTTTTCAAATGAAAGAAGAAAGTGGACACAAGATCTACTAACACAGACCCCTTATCTGCTCTCGACTGCCTGTTTAGAACAGATTCCTCTTGTAAACACGGAGGATGGCGGACATCTTCATCTCTTGCCAAACTGCCCAGTCAGATGGGAGGTTTGCTCTTGCCTCCCATTTCTTTGTCCTTTCATTATTCTTATCACCTTCTTCCCCATCTCTTTTGTGTTTCATACTGATTTACAACCTGCCAGGGACAGTTGACTCTCACAGTTTGACCGCACAGAGAATTATGGAGGGAGCATCAAGGGGCTGCATAGGCCAGGCTAATTCATAGGGAGGAGCTGCTTGCACGGGGCCCATTGATGTCACACTGGCTTGGGTAGTCAGGGTCTTGGCACGAGGCCGAGACTACACCAACGGAGCCAATTCAAGTTAAAGGGAGTGAGCCAAAAGAATAACTGGAAACGGCATCAGAAAAGGCCCTTCAAAAATGCTCTCGAGAAAAAAAAAGAAAAGTCTGAAAAGGAAAACAATTGTATCTTGAAAGCGCAGGAAAAAAAGTAGAAAGGTGAGTGATCAGGGTCAGCAACAGTCGTGATTCAGAGTTCAAAATAAAAGAATGGAAGTCACAAAAGGATGAAGGGGGGGAACTAGACAGAGAGACAATGAAGCTCATTAGAAAGGAGTATTTAAGGAAAGCACCGCTGAGTTGTCTCTGTATGAAGCACAATGAACTCCACAGGAAATGCCATTCATTCATATCTCTGTGTACGTGCCACGCGATTCAGGTAAAAGGAACGTGTTTTTTCTGGAAAGACATTGTGTTAATACAATTCAAAGTCTCTGACTCTATCTGTGATAAGTGATATAATTACCGTCCCTTTTATCTTCCTTCAGTCTTCAAAGCAATCAGGCTATATTATTTTTGTGATGAGACTTTCCATCTTCAGAGTCTTTTATTAATCAAAATTGCTAATACTCCCCCCCCCCACCGTAAGATAGAACTTTTGTTGTTTGTTTTGCCCTGTCGTGTCAATCCTGTCATGTCACCAAATGCATTAAGTTCTGTCTCGTCTAGTCCACTCTGTCATGTCTTGCTTCACTAAAAAAAGAGAGAGAAAGAAATAGAAAGGTATCTTTTTTACAGGTGATCCTGACCCCTGGTCCATCCAGAAACTAATGTCACCTCATTTTCACCTGGGATTCCAGTTCCCCCTTTGGCCAATTAAAAAAACGTGTTTTTGTGTGCGTGAGACGACAGATCCCTCTATCCACTGCACCATGTGAGCTGCTCTTTCAAATGTGTTTTGCTCATAGGCAATTTGTTGATGGTCTCAGACCTAATTTGTTATGTACGGGTCTGAAAATGTCCATAGCTGAAGCCTGAGCTCATCACAATTCCTTTGGATCCAGCTCTGGCAACATCTCCTAGCAAGTGAATGAATTTAATATCAGGGATTCACACTGTTTCCCCAGCATGCTCATTGTCTCCCCAGCAGGCCCAGCTCTGAAAACAAACCACCTTCAAATAGACAGAATAAAATATTTGGTGTCAAATGTTAACGCAGACGATTGTATTTATGAATATTAAATTCCCACAAAAGCCTCACACCGGAGAGATCTTTCCAAGCTTTTTTAAAGCTCTTGTTCATTTCTAATGCATTGAGTCATACAATTGCACTGATTTCAAATCCATGACTCTTTCCCTTTTCTAAACCCAATTGCCTCGGGCCATTATAGAAGTAAAAGTAATTAGAACCACGATTTATTGGAATTAAGTCAGTCTTGGGAAAAAAAACCCTCTAAACTCAGACTTATTATTCCACGGAGAAACGGTTTACTCACCACCACTTACGTCCATAAAACTCAGCAGTAGCAGCTTTACCCTATGCACATATGGATCATGGTAATTAAGGCTGATTCATAGAGCGACTGTGGGGGTGATTAGCGAATCACATCGCCATTGTGTTACCCTCAGCTGAAAATATGGGTAATGAGGTATTACATTATGTGTTACATTATGTTAAGGAGGTTTTATATACAGTATATAACTACCACAGCATCAGCCACATGTGGGAGGACACTGGGTTGCAAGTTATAAGAAATACATAAATTGAAAATAAGACTACTGTACAATCACTTTGAGTGACACAGTTGGTATCATTATTATTATTAATGGCATTACTCATATTTTTATCATTACTCTAGGGTATCATCACCCTATTTTCCACAGTTTTAATGATAGAGATATACAGCATAGAAATATGGAAAAAAGTGCAGCTCATTGCACATCGGGTAAATTATTGATTTTAATAGCTTTTTTTTTTTTACCTTGTGGACTTGCACTGCATGAAGATGTAAGAATAGAACCAAGCTACACAACCTCATTAATGTCTGTGTCAACACAGAGGCAGACAGCAAAGACAGCTTCCTGTCTATCGATATGCATGACTGGCACGGCTTTTTCTGGAGAGATGCATGTGTTGACATTTAAAAGTTCCAAAAACAAGAATAATTGTCATATCCCCAACTGATTTTTGCAATAGGACAGCAATGGAATCAAACTTGTGTAGAATTAAACTGCAGTTGGAACTATTTTTAAACTTGGTGCCATGAGCGAAATGTCTCTCTACTCCGTCAACTTGAGGTCTTGCTCATTTAATGGCACTGCATGCCAGATAGGGAGGCTTGCAAATTGGGGAATGGCTATATCCTCTTCTATACAGAAAACAAATGGAAAAACAAATGCTGGCTCAGAGTTTTTCAAAATACTCATACATCAGGTCACACTTTATACAATGCTTAAAGTGTGTGTAGGAATTGTTGGCTGTGTGGTTGGCGATTGCAACTAACTGAACAGCCCTCCGCTCACTTCTCCCTTTTCCCCAGACTGCGGCAACGTGAGCCGCAAAGTGGAAAACCGGGTTAACACAGTTTGCCTCGATCAAAAGCCATCCTACGACACTATGAAGTCAGACGACGGCTGGCGGTACCATTGTTTTGCAATCAGCGGTTTGTCCATTCTGGGCTGTTAGAACACGGCGGTGAAGAGAACCCGTTCCCTGAGCAGATATGAAGGGCACATTCTAAGCTAACAAAAACACAATTCTCAGTTTCACGTTATTATAGACTTATGAAAACATGCATATTATATTCTATTTCTAAAAATAAATGTCTCTAAATCATACATTCTGTGCCTTAAATCCTATTGTTTTGATGTTTCTATTTTTTTTTTACCTTGGCAGTAAAGTTTCCTAAAATATAAACAAAATTTTAACGGAGCCTGTCATGTGTTTGTAGTTTCCCAGACTGCACAGCTGAATTAAACCCAGCACTAACGATTATGTAACAGGAACGAGAGGCATTGTTTGAAGTACTTGAAACATATCATAAAGTTTTTTGTTTTTGTTTTACTTCTTTGTAAAACAATGCACACACTCATTATAGGCAGTGCAGTAGTTAACATATGGATGGCGTCACAGTGTGAGTGAATATTCATGCCACTTGAATTCTTTGTCTTCCTGATCAGTCCCAGTGTTCTACCTGGAGATTAACTCGACTGCCAAACGTTCTCTGCCTTCAACACAATCCTAAACTCCAAAGTACTGGCTTTCACACATAATTAGAAGTAATTATCTCGTTATCATGCCCAAGCCGCATTGGATTTCCAGCGAAATAAGTGGCACTGTAAACTTTTAATGTGTGAAGTGCATTGGGATTGCTTTAAAAGTAACTGAGTTGGAATATGTTGCTTTCTTTTCCCCTCAGGATATCAACATGTTCTCTCTGGAGATGACCAATGCCAAGCCAATGAACCTCATCCTCACCTCCCCAAACAAGGCCTACGGTGCACACGTCCTCAACACCGACGTCAACATTTATGTGAGTGACGCCTTTTTTTATTTAATAGTGAAGGGGAAATAAAATGCTGATCGTGCAACATACCACTACATTTCATTCATGTGCTACTCTGTTGTATGTGATTCCATTACTCAAGCTTGCTATTGATACAAGAGAATGTCACACAAGTGCTAAGTAATCATGAAAAATTAAGTGTTGTTGTTTCAGTATTGTATCATTTTTAAATTTCTCCAGATTTACTGAGCTTCTATCTCGTGCCAGCTGTTTTGCATGCTGTCAAACTGCCACAGCTGTGCCGCTTTTTGGAGAGAGCAGTTTAAGAGAGACAATGAACCATGTTGGTTTTCTGTATATATATATATATTCCCCAGTTGCTGCTCTGCACGAGGCAGTTTGTGTTTTTGAGTTTTTATTATCCACGCTCTAAATCAGTAAGACAAGTGGCCAGCAACAAGAGGGGCTGATGGCATCGGCTGTAAAATTAATGTTCCAATAAAATTGGAGATTCCCACTTTTACACAGTGTCTGCCGATTATATCTGTGAATTAAATCCAGGGAGGCTAAGAAACAACTTTTATTCAGCTGTTTGAGTATCTAATGAAATCGAGGAATAATACTGTTATGGGGGAAAGTGTTGCTGCGGTTGTCACCGTTTGGTCATTGAAGTGTGTCAAACTATTTTGGTATTTAAATTGGCATTGGCGATGAACCTAACGAGGTGAATCAATCACAAAAATCCTGTTATTGAAACAAACCACTGATGGCTTCAATTTAGATTTTGACGGAAAAGTCTTCTTGGGATATGTCACACTCTTTTATTACCAAACTAAATAGCCAGACAGGAAATTATATTAAAAGGGACAGAAGTGTCCAAAGAAATGGCATTGCCTCGAACTGATATTGAACCAATATTTAAACTATTTAGCATCTAGATGTGTTAAAGAATCCAATTACAAATGATTTAGAGGTTCTATGTGTTACATTATTTGTTGTCCTAATCTTTTCAGTCAGTTGAATTGAGCAGTTTCAGCCTCCTGTGCTGTTTTGTTGCACCAACTCCATATTACATGTACTGGTGTCAGATTCTCATGTCGCAGTTGTACTCTGAGTAATATGTGTTTCTTATTTTAGAGGCAGTCACTGGTGTCAGTTCATATTAGTACAGCATGACAGCTGGATTGAGATTTAAAACTTCCCGAAGACGAACACTCACAATTGATATTTCCTCATCTTTATTCCTTCCACAAACTGACATTATAATTGTGTTATCTTGGATTGTTCAATTAAAGTTGTCTGAGGAACGCTTGAGATTTGACAGGCGACTGCCAAACGGTAACATTTTTAAAAGATAAAAAGCTCCGACGTTCACATTTTGTCTATCGTGACGCTCGTAGCTGATTGTTTGCCTTCCATGTTTTGCACTTACGAGTACTCATAAGTGCAAGTCAGTTTGGCAGCTGCATGCCAGAACTTTCCTCCTATACATGAATGCATCACTTGTCAGAACCATGAATTTTTTACCGTTTCAGCACACAAATAATTTCACGCTGACAAAGAAAAGTAAAGATGAATTAATGTTTACTGTGTTCATTAACTAACCAGTATGTCAATGTACTTTCATACTGACATGACATCAATTAAAACTACTGGACAGACAAGATATAAAAAGCTATATTTTTGTAAAAGGGCCAGCAATTTTGTACAAGATTAGCAAATATAAATAACGGGCTAACCCTTGACATAAAACACATAAATAAATAAAATAAAAATCCGAGCTGACCAATCAGGGGGATGGAATATTTACTGATATGCTGACAGCTGTGTGATACCACATGCTATATCATGTCCTGTCGAGAGCCTGGACAACATTGCCTGTGACTGCAGGATGTTTTTGTGGGATGAGCAGTATCACTGGGGGATAATAGTGTTTTACTGCAGATTGCCGTGTCAGAGAAACAGCATCTGTTCTGCGTCTGAGAAAGTACGTCACCAGCTTGACAGCTTGGCTCAGTGTCAGAATCACAGCTCTCGTTGGCCTTCTAAAATGTACAGCAAGATTTTTATCTATTAAGTCTTGTGAGTCTAATTAATTGTTAGTCACGAAAAGCAAGTTGTTCACTGCAGTTCACACATGATGCAGTACAATAAGATATACTAACATCAATTAAATACATCATCTTTTATGGTAGAATCTAAGATATTGATTCGGCAAAAGGAACAGAAGGAGCCTGGCATTAACAACTCATACATCCATCCCTAGGCTGACTGATGGGAAAGAAGTATCATTCGAACTTTATGTTCCTGTAGACTCGGACGCGCTTTTCTCTCAAAACGTCTTTGAGTTCCTTGAACTTTACTGTGCGCCTGCAGAATATCAAACAGATTTCACAGCGACTAATCTGAGTTAAGTTCCACTGTAATCATTAGTATGTGTACCATTGTTATTTCCCTTCCCCAGCCCTGGTTCTGTTGTGACTGGTTTCCCCTCTTTTATTTCCATAGTTTCCCTTCACGTTGTTTTTGATCTCGCGTCAATCAAATATTCATGTAGAAAGACCAATGACTCCCTCAGGCTTACATGGTTTTCACCATTTGTTTCTGTCTCGCTTCGTGAGGCAAGTACACACACACACACACAAGTAGTCATTCACACTAGACAGGCCGGGAGAGGGATTTTCATTATTTAAACAAGCATGCTCATGCTTTGTAAACATTAACACACTGATTTGCAGAAAATACAGTTCTTTCTCAAATAATTTCAGCACAAGTGTTTACAAAATCAAGAGGTACAGTGCAAATACAGATTTTTGTTTTCCACTTCAGCCTTTGGTCCTTTGAAGAAGAGGAGGACAAAATCTGTTGACAAAATCTTATTTATTGAGTACATTATGTCTAACTGTCTAGAAGCCTACTGAAGAAGAAGAAGCACTCCGCTGCCTTCTTATTCACGCACAGCTTAATGTAAACTCCATTATTTCCCATTGGCCCAGACAAGGAAACAGCGGTGTCTCGTCGCTGGGATGGATGTATATATTTATACCTTGTATGGAGCCAGATTCCAGCCGACTGTGGTGACGCACAAAGCTAAAAAAGGTCCCATTTCCTGGCCCCAGTCAGGAAGCAAAGGAAAGACCATGGCTCCAACAGGGTTGTGCAACTGGGCTCGTGGACACTTAATCATAATAAACATTTTTTTTTTAACAGCACCCTGCTCAGAGAATAGAGGGAGCGTTGGGTGGAGGGTAAGAAACCGTTATAGCGGAGTGTGAGAGGGATGGTCAAACATGTTTAATATGACAAAATGAGAAGACATGAGGTAAATATAAATAGATGTAAAGCTAACTCACTAAATTCTATGTTGTTGCAGTAGACAGACTCATGCCTTTTAAGACTTAGGTGATTCTGACTGTGTTCTTTCTGGAAATAGTATTTTAATGAAACTGATTGGCGTGACTTGGGCTCTACTTTCCAGATTAACAATGACTCCACACTCAGTCTTCATGGTACTCAACATCAAAACAACATCCACAAGCAAGACTTCCCGACTCAAGACGAGGAGCTGGTCAAGTGGGCAACACAGAAGTTTGGGGGTGTGACTTCATTCACCACAGTCAGAAATCTGAAAACCATGTCATCGATGGGAACAAAAGGTGAGAGTTGCTTGTTTGTTTACAGAGCTCTCTCGATAAAATGAATCACTAACCTTCTCTTATCGTAAGTGTGTGTGAAATCCCTTTCTAGTGTAAATCACTGAGCAAACACTGTGCTTTGATGAGGACTGCATTGCAGTGAAATAGCATATTTCAATGCTTGCATATTCTATATTCTCACTTTTTTTATTTTTACATTTCTATTTACTAATTAGAAAGAAATTATATTACTGTACAGTATGACATCAACACACTGATTTCCAATGTGCCCATGTCAAGTTGTACAGAGTTGACTGAAAGAGTGACAACGTTCACCCCGCAGAGCTGCATTACATACAGAACCAGACGCCATGCTGTTTTAAAATATGGTTTGGGGGCCAAGCTCCAGCTGCCGTACGGCCATTCTCCTACAAAGGCTCCTTAAACCAATAGGGGAATATAAGTCGACTGAAATATATTGCGGTCAAGTCTATATACTTAAGATGCTGAATGCAATTCTAAAAAAATCAAACAGTGTCGCTCTTCTACTTTTCACATTTTATATGTACACACCTGACTGCCCATACTAATTTGGACAAGTCTCATGCGGGACCATTCTAGACATTTCCAGGGGAGCGCTTTGTGTACCCACCAATCCTTTATCGTATACAGCAGTGAGCTAAATGTCCGCATGATCACTATCAAAAGCAAAAAACGGATTTAATACCGAGAGAATCCGTGTAGCCTCAAACAACCCTACCTTTAAAAGGTTTTATTTATTTTACCATCCGCATATATTGAGCAGCAAGCATGTGGAGTTTTGTGTTTGCAGCCAAACTGAAAGAGCTTTATACTCAATATTCCAAAATATACAGCACTACTAAAGCTCACTTAACTTTTCTCAATACATGTTATACACAAATACCTGAACATTGACAGGCCACCCATGCTGAAGAGGGTGGCACAAACACTTATGATTTAAAGTGAGCTTTCATGTCTGAGTAAAGGCTGGACGTAACCAATATCATTGGTTGCTATTGCCAGCAGCAGTAGCAGCGGGATGCTCAATGCAAGCATACGGTTTTGCTAATAAAGCCTCCCTAACGAGATCTGGGCAAACGACGAGCTTTGACATGAGTTTAGGTAGAATAAACGGTGGTGATGCTGCTTTTATATCCAGCGTCTTTTCACAGTATTTTGGATGGTTTAAGTTTGAATCCCTGTCATTCTAATTTTCAGTCCTTCCCCCATTGTGCGTGGTTTGGAAATAATTCTCAAACCACGCACAATCCCAGTATATTCCTAGTAGTCATAGTCTTGTCAACGTTTGGCTCAAATATGCTGATTGTGTCTTCCACACTGGTCAGCTATCAGTGTGACAAGGTATACAAGGTGCTGTGAGATACGTATATCATTCCCATCTATAGCATAGTGTTTTGAAACAAATTGCGCGTAGCAATTTAGGCACCGCCCCAGGGTGCACCTGTAAACCATCAGTCACCATTATTTGGTCAAGGGCTGAGCATAGTGTACTCTCATGAGATTGCTCATGGAACATCTCCCATCGGGGGAAAGGCGAGGTAATGTGCCTGTCCCCAGCAGTTTGGTCTTTTGTTGCAGATTGGGCTATGGCTCCCTGGTGCTTGCTACAGTCAAACACTGTAAATCGCACTTCTGTTATCACTGAACAGAAATAGTCTCTACTGCCCTGTTGAATAAATGTTAAAAACAAAATGTAATTGCTTATTACAGCCACTACCCCATTTTTTTTCAATCAAGCATTTAAACAGAAGTGCTGGCAGTCCATTTTCTTTGAAGCTTTATTATGAGATTATACATGAAGGAATCATTTTACTTCTCATGATTTGCCCTGGAATGTTTTGCAACCAATGAATGAACAATGACGCAAAATTAATAGTTGTGGTTTTACAGGAACCAAACCTGGCTCTCGTTCCTGCATACTCAGAAATGAGAATGCATTAGAGAAGCACTTTATGGAGATCGAAACAGCAGCCCGGGCTTCTTTCTTCAAATTCTGCTCCCCACAGCCAGAGAACCCCGGTGATAAAGCTGAGCTTCACATCATCAACATCCCGGATAATTCCACCACTCGGTAAACCTTGAGATTCACAAGACATGGCATCTTATGGAATTTTTTTTCGATCTTTGTCGGAAAAAAAAAATTCACTTATCATTTTTGGTTCTTCATATTGCAGCAACGTATCACTTCGCGTAGACACCCAGAAGACCAGCGTGTTCCTGAGAGGCCCCCGGGGCACCACATGGACCATCATCAACCCACAGCACGCCCAATTTGGTGTAAGCTCACACATAAACATAGAAAGTTAGCATATTTATTGCCTCACAACCACATGTGAGATGACTGGATCTGACAGTAGTGTGCCATAGCTTACTTAATAACGGGGTTAATTGATAGACAGTCTCTAAGTCACTACTGATTTATTTGAACTCGTCTTCTCTTTCTACAGTCCACCAATGACATCCTGCTGACCACATTCACACACAGAATCCCACCGTTTGTTACACTGGACAGCGACAATGCGGAGGAGGTGCAAAGGAAGGCTTTAGATCATTTCAAAGTCAGTACTTTCACCAGCTACACTGAACTCAGACCAGAGGACTCTATGGTTTCACTGGTTCTTGGAAAAAAAGACAACTCTGGAGGTAAGACGATGAAAGGTAAAAAAAAAAGTTGTTTTCAACTTTGAGGCATTTTATACAAAGAGAGCAGATGGAGTACGGCAAAAAGACACAGCCCACGCATGGTAGCACTGAAATGGAAAATTTGGAGGATAATGACTACTAGTCACAATTATCATTATTACATTCAATTTATTATTTTACATACACAATGTGCTGCAATTTGAACGACCCTGAGTTGTTATTCTTTTAGTTATTTTTTAATCCTTTGTATAAGCCTTTCCTAAAAAGCCAATCCTAAAAAAAACTTTGTCTTGAGGAGGGTATCAGAAGGAGTGGTATAATAGCATAGTGTGCCCAATAAAGGACAACTACCCCCATATTACGTACAATAGAAATTGATCGAAATGGATGTACATGGTTTATCTCTTGTAATTTTAGCCATTTTTCTTTCAGCTGTAGAAGCAGCACCAACGCCAGCCACTCCCATTACAGCTAATGCCCCTCATCAGATGCCTCTGCTGATGCAGCTATACACCTCCCCAGACTACCGTTCTCCCCTGGACCCTACCACCAAGGTGCAGAGTGACAAGAGAATTTATGCCGAGGTAAGAAATCATTCTCTGTCTTAGCTGTATATCTCTCAATACAACTCCTGCACAAAAATAGCTAAATATTTTCTGGATGATGTATGAAAAAATGACTTGTTTAGCACTTAATACATAATATTGGTCAGTTTATGCCAAACATTTCCAAATCACTTTAATGCGCAATACAGTTTTTCTTTCTGAAACACAGCTATTCATACGATACCACACTCGGCTGATGCCCATTCTTGTGCTTTTCAAGTTCTGTTAAAAGTTTATTTGATCTTTTCTCTGTTTCCTGTAGATTTCAGTACACACTTTCGGAAATATCGCCTTGACCATCAAGGTGATCAGCTGCTTTATGCGCTCCATGGGCTCATGCCCTGTTTTGAAAGAGCTGCCCTTCATGCCGGAGGCCTGTTCCTTAAATTCTTGTCCCAGCAGCACCCGACTCAGCTTCTCCTTAGATCAGCTCCAAGAGCTGACCACATGGGACCTGGAATGCGCCGTCAAACTTTGTCACAGTGAGGTAGGAGTCTATCAACTATTTTTACATAGCATTATAAATAAAACATGGCATGTAAGGATGTAGAATCTGTGTTACAACTTTCCCTTGGTTGTCTAGAATCATTTATATGAATGTGTAGATCTGTCATGGTGAGAGCATTTCTTTTCGGGACTTGGCTTCTCTTCATATTTAGCAAAAATACTGAGGCTTAAATGACGCTTTTTGACACACTTGTGACAAAGTGACCTTGACAAGTGTTTCTCTTTCCTTACCTTGATAGAAATGTGGAGATGGAGGACGAGTGAAGAGGAATCTGGAGGTTGCCCAGCCGTGTCTGCAACCACCAAGTGAGTTCAGTATAAACTCCAAAATATGGATCAGTTAACTTTTTTGATCCAGTTCAGATGCTGATTAAACCCTCATTGGACCAGATTGGACCAAATCCTAATATTAGGGACAGCTATTAATACAGCTGATTTTCTCTTCTTTCTTCTTTTCCTACAATAACTTACTCATCAAAAGCTTCCCGACATAAAAGTAAATAAATTACAAAGCAATTCAATACTACATGTGTTAGATTATTTTTATCATAGTTTTCTTTTTTATTCCTGTAGTCATGTAAATATTATAATATAAATATTATATAATGTATACAGTAAAATAGGCAGTTCAGTGGAACAAGAATGTTCACAACCCCATGTAGGTGTGTTTGCTTTAACAGCACAATCGACAAACAAACAAAACAATTGCTCCAGTTTCCAAAATGATTGTTTCTCTAAGAATAAACTCTCCAAACTCTTAGGTGAAAAACAGAAACTTTTGAATCACCCTTTTTGTTCTCAGGACTAAATTGCTAGTCTAGTGCTTGGCCAGTAAATTACTAATGCTGGGCGGGCGGTTGTCATAGCAGTGAACTCGGGATACGCAGTGAAGCCAGTAAGAGGTTGCCCGGCTGGGCCTCGTCCTTTAGGAAGGTCTGCAGGCTGACCTTGTGGCCACAATCAGAAGTAATGGCCCACCGGGGGACGGGGGTGAAATCCTTTGTGTTTCCAAGGGGGTCTTGACTGTGTTGCTATCCAAACACAGCCACTGGGCCTGATGCTATTCAACACAGTTGACTCAAAAAATGTGTTTTTCTTCAAGGAAATAATAGTCTCCAGACAGATGACTAATTTCTAGGAACATTTCAAATGATTTAATTTCAGTAAGACAAAAGGAAGTAGAAGTAGTGATTAAATGGTGAATCACCTGAAGTTTGTCAGACTTCTTTTGTAAGCCTGATAATAGATTTGTTTATTCTTCAAGCTTCCTTCATCCTCCATTTCCTTCTAGAGGAGAAAGATAAAGAGTGGTATGTCAGTGCTGCAGCAGACTAAACCACTCATCCTACTTTCCTGTGTCCTGTTTGTCCTCCTCTTTGCTGTTTTGCTTTAACTTATGCAATTAAAAATGTTTTTTCCTGGATACTGGGACCCGGAATACAGGAATGTATAATGCCAGTTGTTAAGGAACATGTTGGTTTGGTAGATGTGTTTATGTGGTTCCATTGTCAGAGATACAAGTGTCATATCAGCTGGACTAGCAGACTGCATTCTGTCACGAACCCTTGCTCAGCAGGACTGAGTGCTCCATTCAGCAATCATTCCTGTTTGGTACGTTTTCATAGAGAGGGCTCAAGGGAGTCACAACACAGGCCTGCAGTCTGCCTCCTCCTCTCCACCTGCACTGGAGCTTCTGCTTCCTGCTCTTGTTTATTCAGCTTTGCTGTCAAAGCCTCACTTGTACAAACTAGCACAGCGACTGATTGGGGGGGGGGGGGAGAAAGAATTCTCAAGTTGCTGTGATGTTTCTGGCTCATTCGGGGTCGTGGAATGTTCCTCGCTGACAGATCATCAAACTGGGTTGGCTGTCTGGGATGCAGTCGGCCCAAACGCCCACAAGATGTCCCTGTTTCAGCAATCTGGGTCATGTTTAATAAGTCAGTAGATATTTATGATTGTTTCATCAAAATCAGAATGATAGTCTTTAATGGTGTTTTCCTCATTTTAATTACAAAGAAAACACAACAATGTGCGATGCAAGTGCCTCTGTAACGAGCCTAGATCAACTTAATACTGATATCAGAACGTGTAATGTTTCAACTGAATTGCACGGACATTAGGAAAGTACAAAGTCTGATATTTTACATGCGACGCCATAAGGTTTCATTTGTTTGCACATATTGGAATACACATGATCCGCAGAGTGGTGGCAAGTTTCTACAAAACAAACCCACCGTCGTCTGTCCTTCATGTCCTCTCTGCAATGTACGTCAGGGAAAAGGAGAGCTGTATTGTATGAGGCCTAGTATTGTACTTAGCCAAGCACATTCCACCAGGAGGCAGGAGGCAGCAGAGGCAGGTGAGAGAAATTCGTGCGAAGGTGATGATTAGTTTCTTCCAAATGTTCTCGAAACTTGTGGGAGGATCTCTACAGGTAGCAGAAGCAACGGTGAAGGAAAAGCAAGTGTTTGTGCAGTTTTTTCTTGATATGCAACACATAGTATGCACACATATGGCTATGTTATTGGCCTTGCAGAGTCAAACTATATTCCTAAATTAATAATAATAAAAAAACAAGTCTGGTAATGATTAATATAATTAATTCATCCAAATACCAAACCCTCAAACTGCTTTCTGCTTGAACATCGCTAGCAAAACTCCATGCTGAGTTTAAGGTGATGTCTAAATGAAGGGGAAAACTGTCAAACATCTATTGTGCAGCCTTCTTGGAATGACGTCTATCTCAAGGTAATCAATTCACGGGCTTGCCAGACCACAATAAGCAAAGCGAAATTGGAATGGCCTTGCCAGGCTAGTAACGGATGTCTGTGCCACAGTGTCATGGGCTTGAGCAAGTTTTAGTCTTTGAGGAAATAATATTTTTCACAGCTACTGGCTCAGATTTTGATGTTTGCCAGCAGTGAAGCACATTGTGCGGGTTAAGCCAGCACACAGAACATCACCAATGTCAAACTTGATGTTGAATTAAAGTTTGTATCATTAATTAGAACAGAGACAATGAGCACATTTCTTTATATTTCAGTTCGGCTGAGGTCTAACCCTGCAAAAGAGATGACTAGTTATATTTACTGCAAGGGCTTTGCTTTTATTGCCATGGTAACTAGGAGGGGGAAAGCGTATCATTAAAGGACCATTCCGTAGCTGGGACACATTGCATATGCTTTTCAGCACTGTTATGCATTTTAGAATCTATACCATCAGCTTTAAATTAACCTTTGAGGCAGCTGTTGGTTTTGGCTCATGCTACAATGTCAATCAACTTGCAGAGACTTAAAAATGGCATGATGTCTGTCCATCACATTACACTTATAGTCATGTCTTTCTTTGTCAAAAATGCATTGTCATTGCATGCTCAATGTATTTGAAATCAGGATTTAAAAAAAAAAAAAAACACCATTATTGGTGCATGCCAGGAAACTCCATCTTGAATTCAAGATTTTGTTGCCTGAAAACATATATTCACGAGACACGCCAGTTCCATTTCTGTGTGGGTGTTCTGTTACCCTGCAAGGAAATTTGGTGCTGGCAACTGGTACATCTTGTTTGCTACGGTTCTCTGGAGAAATCGGCCAATCTGATAAGGTTGCTGAAATCCATGAACTTCTTGCTGTTCCCGAGTGAAACGTACTGTTTAATATATCTCTGGATTTGTACATATAGAGTCAAATCTCACCTCTGTTACATGGACAACTTGCATCATCACGTGAAAATAATGTCACTGTGACAGAAAATAAAACAATATCAGCATGTCCACTGCGATTGACCACCTACTGGAACATCTGCAAATGTATTTTCACATTGTGTTAGCATAAACGGTAACCATCAGTTCTGCCTTGTGATTGCTATGATTGCTGTTGTTTAGCTGAAGCTTGCACACATTGTTTTTACATTGTTTTCATGTATATGTTTCAGCCCCACCATGCTTTGATTTTGGCTTACCCGGTGTTCTGGGCATTGCATTTGGAGGGTTCCTGATTGGAGTATTACTTATTGGAGCACTGTGGTTTATCAAGATTAAAACAGGTAAATGTATGACTAACAATATAGTGTTTTTGGTTTAATACAGAGCTGAGTTGTCTGTATTTGAAATTGTCTTATTTTGCTTATTTCAGGGTACCCAACTGGACTGGACATTAGCTCAACTGCAGCAAATCTACCTGGTAAAAGATTTTTCTTTCTTTTTTATTCGTTCTTTTTTCCCCCTTTTCATCAGGTTCTTATTGTCTTCTCTCTCATCTCTCTTCAGGATGTCCCTGTTCAGGGGCAAAACGACAACCTGTCTCCACCAACCCTTCCCCCTCTGAGAACAGCAGCGCCAACGCAAGCATTGGAAGCACCCAAAGCACGCCGACCAGCAGCATGGCATGAGATTATGGTAATCTCCACCACCAGCAGAGCCACCCTTCAAAGTCACCTATGTGGGTTTTGTGCTTTCGTTTTCTTTAATAATGCTTAAAAAGCATTTCTCCCTTCCCTGCCCCTTTCAAATCCTCATTTAAAAAGCACAACCCACATCTTTGACTTACCAAGCCTGGAATGTATGTGATCTGGGAGTTTGTAATGGTGGATCGAAGGTGGGGGGGGGGGGGTGGGTGACGGATGACAGAAGTCTAATCAATGGCCTCTGACGCTCACTTTGCGGCCTCTCTGTAGAGTCAAGCTCCTAGACAGGAAGTTAAAGAGGGCAAGAGAAAAAAAATTGGCTCCAAGCAACAGGAAAAACAAACCATATCCCCCAAGAGCTAACAGGAAATTCCCTGCATTCCTTTCAGTGAATTATGCTTGTGTGATGGCTGCACAATAATAGTTAGACAGGAGACAAACCAGTCCAAAGACCGGCTTTAAAAAAAAAAAAACAGATGAAAAACTGTTTTGCATTCACATCTAAGCTATAACAATATGTAAGGCTTGTGGCTATGTCAGCCCAAAAAGTTATTAACAGCGTCTCTGAGACTGAAAAGCTCAACATGTTAGGATCTCAAACCTGTCTATGAAATGCTCACTTAAAGGGGTATTCGTCTTAATTGGAGTGCAAGGTCAATAGTTAACAGCTACCTCCTATTATTTAGAAGTCTGGAGTTAAGTTTAAACTTAATACTAGATTTCACTGGTGAATTGATCTTACTTTCTGCCTTTTTTCAATTTTTGTTTTATTCTGTGTCGCTTTAGGTGAATCTTGTCGTTGACCTCTGTGGTCATTTGTAGCTCTCGACAACAAAGTCATTTTGCCATTTTCATACTATCCAATATCTGTGTCATACCATATGGGCATTCATATCAAAGTCAAGTTCTATCCATCCAGTCTATTGGAAGATCCAGAGAATATATGCATGATTTCCTAATTACTCAACAAAACCAATCCTAAATTCTATTTATGGCCCGAAGGACACAATAAATAATGAACCATTAAGAAAAAAAGTACTTCTGTTTATGTGAACTGAGAAATACTCACTTTTGTAGTGTACAGTTAGTACAAAAACTCACATTAGTTCTCATACAGCTACGCCCACAGGGTGGAGTTTCCCCAAAATAGTCCGTCTGGAGGTGGAATTCCAGTACTTTTCCTTTGCACAATGTGCATTTTCAGTCCATCACAATTGCCTGGCAATTAGTTGTAACCATATACAGTATCCATTCATGTCATTTCTGTAAAATACATAAATACAAAAACACATTTCACTGAATATATTGCATTCAAGTATTTTTGGACAGATTGAATCATCCCCCTGATGAACTAAATGCCAATGCTGATGGTGTATAAACCGTAATACTCTTCCAATATTTGAAGATCAAGACTTTTAAGAAGTATAAAGTGCCCCAACCTGCTTTCTCATTTTCAATGACTTTTCATGTAAGATGAGTGCACAAAAGGGAAATCCTTTTTAGACCCCTGATGGATGTTATGGGTCGATGTAACCAAACTCCTAGCAACTTTTATTCCTTGTGGGGGAACTTTTGGTACAAACGATAGGCTTTCACAATGAACACATTGATATGTTTGTTTCAAACGAATGGGCTAGAAAACCTGATTTCTCGGTGAAAACTGGCAAACTCAGACATGAGGCCTGTACACACGTGGGCTCTATTTCAGTTTGACTTTGAGTTTTAAGTTTAACACCTGCAAGCCCACTTCTCCCTAATTTTTCAAACTTCAACTTCCTATACAAGTCACCAGCTCTGAATACAGCCTGTTCGGACTCCAAAGTATAATCAATAATAACAACAGTATAAGAACACATTTTATATGCACTGTTTGCAACAATACATTAGTCATTCCGTTGTGCTTTAACCCCATGAAGACTGCTTTTAAAATATCAACTCTAGCTTTATTTCCAGCTGTCACATGTGCCGAATGATATGGAAACTGTCACTTGAGAGGGATGCATTCCTCATTCAAATGATTTACTTCTGCTCTCTACATTTGATAGGCTGCATCAGCCGCTGCAGTGCTAATGCTAGACAGAAGCTGCATAGATGCATAATAAGGACTCATGAGGGCTACAACTGTACAGTGACGGTTGATCCGTGAACCCAATATTTGTTTCAATGTACAAATGTAAATGTAATTTCATTTTTTTTTTTTCACTCCGTTACCTCTTAAAAAATATTGCCATCACACGGCTTGTGGAATAAGTAACACATTTGTATCCACAGTAGCTTTGACACAAGCGCCACAATTGTGATGTTAAAACATTTCGTTTTATACATTTGAAACAATGACCCTTACATGAATATATATAAATATATATTCACACTCCAAATAGTTACTTGCCTTCTGATTTAGTTAAAATAATTTATTAACCTTCAAACCCTAATCTCAGTATTCAGCGTATTCCAAAACGACTGTTGTGTATGTAATCTGTCTCCTCATTGTATGTGAGCTATGTAGCCTCTTACCCACCTCTCTATCTCAGTGTGTGTGTGTGTGTGCATGCACAATCCTTTGTGTGTGCCTGATTTTCTTTGTGTATTTGTATAGAGACGGAGAACAAAGAGGGCCAGTACAAATTGCCACTTGAGTATTTGTGCAATATGATGAGGTAAACTTGTATGTCAATATGTAGTTTTTTTTACCATGTATTTTTGTGCAAATGTATAATTTTCTTACTTTGAACCTTTTCCTTAACAGACTTTGTTCTTATTTGGAGAACTGGGACAATTCCTAATCAAGGCACTCGTCAAATGCATAAATTTGTTTTGTATTGTTATCTTAGTTTTTCTCCTTCTCGTATAGATTTGGGTTTTGATTACAATGTAGTCACAGACAGTGCATGTCACATCGCATGTCAAAGACGGAAAGATGTTGTTTTTTTTACCCCTGTTTGACTTTTGCTCGAACCCTAAGATTCTCCTTCTGTCCAAAAAAACATGGCATATCTCTGCCGATACTGACATCCTGACATTGTATTGCGTTCATTGTACTATCTTCGCTGGGTGTGATGGGGAAGTACGTTTTTGAAAGACAGAATGTCTCGCCACAGAGGAAAATCTAAAGGAAATATTCAACACTCACAAACTTGTCGAGTGCAGGGAACAGTCAAACTTAAAACAGTACAAATGTGGTGGTTATTGAGAAGTTTTTTATTTCATTTTTTTAATGTCAGGTATTCTGTAGCTGTGTTAAACCAGCCACAGTGACTGACAGATTCTGTCTGAGCACTGACAGTAAAATCAGACAGGTTGCCAGTTAATTCACTTGTTAACCCTGCAGATCCCTTCGTTACATCTGACAACAGCTTCCTCATCCAGAGACAGTCTACACAGTTAACACAATATGTGTGTGTCTGTGTGTGTGCACACATACACAGTATCTGTGTCTGTTTTGTAGGTGTACAATACAAACTATGCCTACATTTATGTGAGCGGATCCTTGCTCCAGTCTCTTAACAATGTCCGTATTCTGAATTCTTACCAAAGAAGCTGAAGCCTTAACAACACGTCAGAATGTCTGCTTTGATTTAATCAAGTGTAACATGCAGTGTTTCCTTTTGTACCATTGAAAATGGGTCCATTTCTTGAGATAGTACTAATCTGATGTAATTCTACCTTGTCTCCGAAGAAATATATGTTTTGTCTGAAAGTATCTTAATAAAGTGAATATGACAATTGCTCTTTGTGTTGTCTGGTGTCTTTATTACAGCCTCATGGCATTGTCCTGGGTAAACCTATTGCAATATGTTGGAATACACAAACTCCCACAATCGCTAAGGACAAGTAATATCATTTAGTAGTTATTCAACACGCTTGAGAGCAGAGCACTCGCATAGAATAAAGAGCATGAAATAGACAAACTCTTAAACATATTAACAGTGACAAAAATGAACAATGGAGGATATTCTGTATTTAGGCTGCATTTGCTTTGGGGTTTAATTGAAATATTGTTGAACATGTTGTGTGCAGGTGGTGAAAATGCCCAATTACTCGACTGGTCTCTTCTTGCAACAATTGCTGTGACATGTTCACCTGATGACTTGCTGCATCTACAGTATATGTGAGCTTCTTCTGTTGACTTCACTCCCTGATTTGATGACACTGTCACATTAGCACTGGCATTGTAAAGAGACTTCTCATTAAATGTAAAAAGTACAATATTTCACTCTGTTGTGTAGTGGAACAGGAGTAGAAAGTAGAATTAAATGGAAGTGCTTACATTTCTACTCGCATACATAACAGAGTAAATATACCTAGTTGCATTCCACTGAGGAACAAGTTGGATGTTTTTTCTTTTTTTCTATTTCTTTATGTCACAATGAGATTTTCTCACAGATTAGTTGTTAGAAATCAAATATGGCAGTTCTTTTTTTTTTTTAAATCACATAATGCAAAAAAGTTCTATTTGTATATGTTACTATTATATGCATCTGATTTAGCAGAGCTTGCCTTATGACTCACCTGAAACACTATCGGCTTACAGAATCAAAGACATCATACTATAATGATGTTATGAGTCATAAATAGCCTTTATTGTTGGGCGAAATGATGAAAATAATGGTGTTTTCTTCCATCTATGGCCTTTCCTGAGGTTTCAAGTTTTCCTTCTTATACACAAATTCAATTTTTTTTTCAGGACTGGAGCCAAAGCACACAATACATGTTTATGGGCTGCCGTCATCTCTAAATATGACCATGGAGCCATTTAGCCTTATACAATCTGTGACGTGTGTGTCTATGTGTGTGTCGCTGTGTGTGTGTGCTTGCTTTAATTCAGGTTGTTTACCTCTCAGGAAAAAACATGTTCTTTTCTGCAAAATTGTGCATGTAACAATGACCTCAGGGCAAAAGCAGTCTTTGCAGCTCTGTTCTATGAAAATGAAGGTGTAAATCAGTAGAGAAAATGATTTTTTGAATATTTTACTCTGAGGTGTAATGGAATAGATGTTTAAAGTAGTATAAAATGTAAATATACAAATTCAATCTCGTTTTCAGGACTGATGGCTTCATACAGTCTTTATTTTTATATGTGAATAAAGAAACAGATGCCAGAATTGTATGGAGCTGTGAGCTTTAAGGGTATATCTTCTATAAAACCTTCTGTCTTTGCAAATTGAATGTAAGAGATATCATTTCAGATGAAAAAGGGAACAATTGCACTGTGTTATTGTTGTTCGGAAGCTGCTTCCATACACAACATCAGAGTGTGTTACTTAGACTATGCTAATGTGATCTAGATGAAATTGTTGGCAGTGTTTGTTAGAGCTTGGCCTTACCTGCTAAGGAAGAATTTTAACTGAGGTCACTGAATAAGTTGGAATGTAGAATTGGAAATCTTCACAAATGGAAAGCACATTTTTTTGTCAAAAGATTTATAACCTTATTGCTTCTGGAGCTTTCTTATCATCTTTTTTTCAAATGGGAATAGCTCTTTCATTCCCTATGTGCATTGCTCAATAATCACGCTAATTTATTCTGCAGACTGAAATTGTCGAGTATACTACATTTGTCGTTTTTTCTTTGTCAACCCATTGTATATTCACAAATGTAAAACATTATCACGTAGTATCGAACTAGGATACAGCCAGTGTTATGTCTTGTGAACACTGTGTGAAGGGTAATATAACCTTTTCTTGCCATGTGCTTTTGACACTCACATGTTGTAAAATAACAATAGCCAAGCAGCAACATCGCCGCTAGATGTTCTGCCTACTTTTTAGTAAGTTCAACAACATTTGACATCTAAAATGGCAACTAGAAAAAATTACGCCAAGAAGAAAGAGACTAGAAAAAGGGGATCAGATTAAGAGAGATTAGCTGAGCTGGTGAGAGTAGACAGAACTTTGGCAAGTGAATGGCAGCAAAGGTATTGTATTGTTCCGTAACCTTCAATAAAATTAACCTCATATATATAAAGAAGAAGGAAAAGAATGCCTGATTTCTCTTTACACAACTTCAAAGGAACTGACTTGTTCATTCAAATAACAACAGAGATAAAGATTGTTAGGATCTTATCTTGCTCTAGTCTGGATTTATATTGAACTGGGGATTCATTCCCAATTAAAAACATTGTATTAAATGTATTATGTTGTGACGCCCTGTGCAATAATATCCTGTATTTCTATGGGACACACAAAAAAAAGCTCTTTACAGACATCAAGACAGAAAAACACAGTGCAAATAAGAAATAGAATAAAAGTAAATAAAATGTATGGATATCCAATTGGGAGAAAATGTGAGTGACCCTAATATGGTTATAGACAGTAAAGGTCAAGTGTTTAATTGTATGTCCCTGAGCACTATGTAAGTACTCAACAAACTGCAAATTGTGTAGAGTTGACCTGTGCCTATAATGAAATTAAAAAGATAAACTATCCCAGCATAGCTTTCATTACAGTGTTAGATTTGCCTCAAACGCTGTGTAATGAGTGGCTGCAGGGAAACGTCCCATTACATTTAATTACTCTGATGAATGGATTACCACTGACCACCACCAGATGGTGCTATATTTATCTATTTTCTCTGAACACAGACTGTATAGCCTATAAACAGAAGAAGACAATGAGACTCATTGTAAAGCAAAGCTACCATGCACTTTTTAAATAGTTGAAATGTAATCAGCAATGGCGTAATGAAGCAATGCAGTGCAGAAGCAATGAAAGCATTTAGGATCGTGCCGCTGCCTTTATAAAACACATTTAGGCCGGCACACGTAAACAGTGGCACGAAAATGATCTGATTTGGACTGAACAATTCTATTTCCACACCTTGTTTGCAGTACAAATTACCGTGTAGCTATATTTAAAACCATTTCTTTGAATCAGGTTAACAAATCTGTAACCAATCCTGACATGAAGCCTATAAAGCCGCCAGGGCATGTTGAATTCAGGGAGCTACATGAGAGCATAACTGAAGCTACTCGGAGTAAGCCGCCTCTCCCTCAGACGTTCACACCCTGAGGCGATGTGCTGCACACAAGGTTGTTTACAGACACCGACACTGTGTCCAGGCTCTGCCTCTCTCCCCATTTCTCACCCACACGCAGACATTCACTCTCTCACAAAGCAGCCGTACACTTGCCCACACCTCACTGAGCAGCCACAGCCTGGACCAGGGTAATCCTCTAACTTATAGGCAGTGCTCTGCGCTCGAAGCCAAACCCAGCCCTTCAATATGCAGACACCTCTGGAGCTGTGGCCTAAACACCTCAGAGGTGATATAAGATGCTTTGTCTTCTTTTATGTTTTCTCCCTTTGGGCCAGTCCTTGCTCTACTACATGTAAATAACACTTAAACATGTGTAATAGAGATTTCCAGTCTGCAATGAGTTCTTATTATAATGAGTTCTTGTTTGCGGGCTGGATATGTGACTGTTCACTGTGATGTGGTAACAACACACAGGCCGTACTATATAATCCTTAACATAACAACACATTAACGTAATGCAGATTTGTCATGGAAGGATCAATTTAGTGTGTTACAGTTTTCACAACAACATTGAAGAAAACCTTGACCATAATTACAAGTATTATAGATCTAGAAAAGGGATTTTACTGAACAGCAGGTAGATCGTTTTCTTGCATGTTTCCTGTATGTGATTTGGGACGAACGGCACTTGCATCAACATGAACAAAGTGTAAGTTAGAGGGAAACCAGGTAGGCATGTTCATCTTCCACCTCCCGACCAAGGCCTAGCCTCAGTCTAGATGCAGGTATTTCTAAATATATATTTCTTTGTGGTTGTGGTTGGAGAATTACTCTCCGAAACCCAGAAGCTCAAACAGCTTCAACCGGATGGGAGAGGACAACAGACCACACTTCTGGAGCAGTTTTGCCTCCACATACCCTTGCTTGTCTCCTCATCTAAAATAAACAGGTTGTCAGGTTGGCGCTCCAACTTCATGTTCCAAGTCATTTTTTAAAGTGAGATACCAAAAAGTGGTGCTTGAAGCTATGCATTTTTAATGGAATAAAGATAAGCAAGGTGAGCAAAGGGGGCGAGCATTTTCTCCTTGAGCTTCTTTCCTGGACATCCAGCTGATGTGTAATAGTCCACAACAAAATGCTTAACAGATATTCGTTTTTTCTCTTCTAGGTTGGCTCTTACTGCCACAACTCATAGTTTTTTTTTTTTTTATTGTATTGCTATTTCCTTCAACTGCTAATGCTGGTCTCTCTGAGAGAACTTCTCAAGTTTACCACTTTCACCGAAAATGGGCTGAGCACAGCACCAGACTTATTGTAGTGTAGGAGTCGAGGCAAGTGTTTCTGCTTGTCATGTTATGTAACTTATCACAGCCAAACACGACTGGAACTGGCTAGTTAAGTAACCCCTTGACTCCGCGTTGGGTTTCGTTGGGTTTGAAGAATGACGGATGGTCGGCTCAGACTCTCTGGCACTGGCAAAGTAACACAGTAAAATATCAAGTTATTTCAGCACAATGGCTAGATGGCTTGTTTGCAGAGTGCACTATTTTACATTATATGACCAATTTAGCACAGTAAAATGCAATATAGCATTTAAATAACACTAGTACCTGTATGTCCACACAAAGGACATATGACCTGTTAGCCATATGGTGCAAGCAAATAGATAGGACATCTCCAAAAAAGTAGTAAAAGAGGGAGTAAAAATCTGATTAACCACAATGCTATCAACTGGGATACCGGCAGACCCCA